GTCCTTGCTCCTAGTAGTAAGGCCAGGAGCCCCTAGGTAGCGTCCTTGCTCCTACTCGCCCCACAAAGGTTTGCTTCTGTCACTGGCCTTGGCGATACTTACCTGGAAGAGTCCCACGACTCGCACTGCTGCGGTCAACGGCCTTTTAACGCCTCCTGACCAAAAGAAGAAGTTCATGGTCTGTTGAATGGCCCTCAGTGTCACTGGTGACATTTAGTGACTTTTTTGCATTGTAGCATCCACTTGGTTCAGACTCCTCGGATATCATTTGACTTACTAGATCTTACTAATATGAAAGTCCAAGAGTCCAAGTGTTAGTGGCATCCCTGACTTTGACTGTTGCAAGTAGCTGTTGTATTGCGCTTCACCTTTGTTGGTACAAAAGTACGTCTACAACACACCGCTTTATACAGGGAGTTCTATTGGGAAGCTGCATCAGGCAGTTCAGGGCTTTGGTCTTTCGCATTTGTGGTGCAACTGTGTCCTTTCTTGCAAACCGTTCGAAGATGGAATCCGTTCCTTGATGCTTTGCTTTTCATTCCCTGTTTTCATACTACCAATCTTCTTTCTTGTTTTCGGTTTTCCAAACTTGAGGCTAGGCTTCGTGTTGGCAAGCTTCGTGGTCTTTGGCACCGGATTGCCACTGGCTCACTGGGATCGACTGCTGCGAAGTGATTGGTGAGAAGCTCAGGTGGGAATCGCTATAGGATGTTGGACATATTGTGAGTTTGCTTGTTTCATTAGCGTTGATTGTGCATTTGTCCAACATCCAAAAGATGAGTATGGCTCGGGGCAGAAATACAGAAGGCTGGAAGCCTGAGTTCTGCTCAGGCGGAACTACGCCAGGTCCTTGTGTCCGGGCTGCACATGTCAATGTGGATGAAAGCGCAGTTTTCTGGCCTAAGCAGTTTGGTAGAGTGAGAAGGTTACCAGGCACCAGGCTGTTGTGGACCTGGGTTCCAAGACCTGAGTCCGACTATCTTGCAGCTCTTCGTGTACTTGGAAGTAACGCCAAGCATTGGGTCCCTACTTCAACTGCAGCCAAGTCGGATGAAAAGAGCGATCTTTGTGGGCTCAGCACCTTGACGGGAGAGCGAGCCACATTGGAGCTTGATGGGACAGCTTCGTTGAACGAATAAGAAATTAGAGTGCAATTTGAAGAATGTGGATATGTCTACAGATATGTGCAGGAAATGATGTCATGCTTTGGAAGGATCCAGTAACCGAGGAGCATGAGATGCCAAGTGGTCTGTCTTAAAGGAAGCAGAGCAAGCATCGCAAACTCCACAGACTCCTGTGACTCTGCAACTCTACCTTTATAAATCCGATTGATCAAAGCCTCTAAGGTCTTGTTGCTGATTTTGGAGACGGCCTGGTCAGCCTTGGGTTTGGCCTTGGTCCCCTTCCACGGGGGCCTGCGGGAGGATCCTGTCACAGTCCTGCTGAGAAGCTTGACCAAATAGGGGCAATGCAGAATCTAATTCCTGTGCTTGACTCCACATGTGGGGTATGCCCGCGAGTCTCCAAAGTGCAAAACAAGACCATGCGCTTGTCATGCTGGTTGCTTTTGCTTTGATGAAACGCGGGGTGGTCCAAGTCTTTCTAAAGCACCAAACCCACTTGCGTTGCAGATTCTCAGACATAAAGTTGCATAAAGCCTGCAAAAGAGTGGGTGCAGTAGACCTGTTGCAGTAGCCTGGTCAAGATTGTTTTTTGTCAAGATGTGTCTAATTAGTTCCATTATCTTGCTTTCGGGCGTTTCGAGCTCGCTTGCTACCAAGGGCAAGGAGGCCCCGTGGCATCGGCAGTGTTGGGGCTTGGCATCTCGTTTGTCAAGTCACGCATCGTCCAAGCGTTCAGATATCTACTCTAGGACTGACTAGGACTCTAAAAAGGAACCAGTTGCAATTTTATGTATTGTTCTGGTGTTCAAGCTTGCTCTGATTTTTAGCATCAGACACCCTGTGATACACGATGTCCTCGGTCAATGTTTGGGTGAGGTTGCTTTGCCGTAGTCACGACCATCCTGGGCACAAACCTTGCCTTGAGATCCTTTTGCCGAGCCTTTCCCAGAATTGACAGCTGAACATGAACCTCACAGAGTGGAAGCAAAAATAGATGTGAATCAGGATGTGATGATATTTAGGATTGAGCCATGTGACCCGCTGTGATGCCACCCATTGAGGCGGTGCAAAGCTGCTTCCACCTTCATGGGCCTACAGCCTAGGTGTTTTGCTGCCAGCTTTAGCTCCAAAAGGGGCCTTCTTTGCCGCGATTGACTTCGCAGGTGGTCGACTAAAAAGCAAAGCTTCATCGCCTCCGTACTTTGATGACATTGACAATGTTTGACAATGAGTTGTGACTCATGCTCACTGGATCGCTACTAGGAGCAAAGGGCATCGCTACTAGGAGCAAGGATGCTACTAGGCTTAGGGGCTCCTGGCCATACTACTAGGAACAACGACGCTACTAGGAGCTTTTTCGCAAACTAGTCATGACAAGTGACTCATGCTCACACCATTGAAGGAGCATACCCCGTGACACTGCTGTGGGGCTGCGCTTTGCCATTGATGGCGCTTCGTGGGCAAAACAAGACAAAGAGGTACAGCCTGAGGGATGATTGCAAGACTCAGGTGGTGCATGAGTGCATCATAGTGTCAGAGCATCATTTAATATGATGCTGGGAATCTCCGGTTTTGAGAGATTGATCTCACGAAGCAACATCTGAAATATTGCAGCCTCTCACACCTTCAGAGTCCTTTGAGAATGGAGATACTAAATGAGTGTTTGTTTGCGTTTGACCGCTGAACACACACCTCCTGGGACCGTGCATGTTGAGAGTGTATCAGTGTATCCACTATCAAGTTTGCTATTCACATAATCAGGGATATCTCAATCAGCAGGATCTTGCAACGAGCTTGAAAGACTATACAGGTCAAGGTGTGCTGCGTTCTTCAAACTCATATATAAAAGTACCTTCCAAGTGTGCAGCGAGCAGGAAGACCTTGCTGCTGCTGGCCCTTTTCCTGGCGTCACTGGTGTCTTGGCTTTGCACATGTCAAAGATTCTATATATATATAAGTTTTCAGCAATGCTCTTCTTTGCAAGTCAGTTATTCCTGGATGACCAAAGCCTATCTGTGATTCTTAAACACCCACTTTTCAGAGACTGACAGACCATACATGGAATACCCAATCTCAACAGTGAAACTATTGATATCCCTTTCATTGCTCCCTTCAGGCCACTGTCGTCATATATGCTGTACAGGATCTTGGGCTGCTGCTGTTGTCCCGGTCTGCAAGATGGGCCTAAGATTCTTGGTTCAAAGTTCAAAGCTGTTGAGCCATTGTAGCACAAGGCATTCAGAGCGCTCCAGATGAGTGCAGATGCTCCGACCTGAGGTCTTGCAACACAAAAGGAAGACGCGCAGAGCAGACAAAAGATCTCTGGTGTGTGTGTGTGTGCGTGTGTGTTCGGACTGAAATGTTTGAGGAGATCAGCTTTGCTGGATTGCGAAGTCCGACAGTCTACCGGCAGTCTTCAGGCCAAGTTTTCTTTGGCAGGCAGAGTACATCGAGCCGTTGCAACTGGTGAAGTATACTCCTGGGCAATACTACAGGCTGGTGTTTTTGGCCTTTGAGCACAGTAGCCTGATGCAACTTGTCAAGAATGTGTGGCGAACGTATCTTGATGGTATGTGACACGGCACGTGCATAATCTTCTCAGTGACACTTCGTGCTGTTTCCTTTGCGAGGGCACACCTCGACACCCACCAGGAGCCGGAGAGGCGGTCCTGGTTGATTCACTTGTGCATTGGCATGGGCATGCACATGAATTGGAGCTATAAAAGGACACTATACGGTGTTTTGCAGTTGTACTTCACAAGCCTATTCCAGGCTTGGCTCATTCAACGGTGAGCAGCGTATGCAAACGTTGCTTGTTTTTGTGCAGCTTGGCATTGGTTTTGAGAGATCAGCCATCAAAAACTAAGAGCATTGGCATGGCGTGATTTACATTGGCACGGTGTTTGTAAATGAGCTGCCAAAATTGGTCGGCATGGCAAATCAGCGCAGCTTTTGGGACATGTCATTCTCAAGGTCCAGTGTTCCAGAGGCGGGTTCAGTTGATGAAAGTCAGTTCCAGTTCATGCCTCTGGTCTTCATAGACATTGCTCCACACAATGCTCGCAGCGTCACAGTCGGATGGCGGTGGACATTTGCATTTTCCACTCTTGGAGCTCCGCATCTTGCCAAAAGCATTTGGCCTCAGTGGTCGCTTTGAAGCTTTCCAGCCATTGAGACACTTAAGATGTTTGTCGCAATGCCAAAGGCCTTAGAATCGTACGCGAAATCACACGAAATCCATGGAATCATCTTGGAATTCGAGCCTGTAGCTGGTAGCTTTTTAGGCAGGCACTGCCGTGCTTTGGGACAACTGCAAGCCGAAGGATGGAACTGCCCCGTGCTGAGCCGAACTTTGTCGTATGACACACCGTTACACCACCTTCGTAATTTGGGTCAAGGGCGTGATGGAGCCAGACCCATGCTCCCTGCACGAGGACTGCTGTGTTTCATGGCTTTTTTGCGACCTCGCATTGTGCTACTCTTTCATTCCGGTTCTCAAGGTACAAAACAGATATTACTCATGATTCAGAAGTGGGTTGTAGTGGGGTTCCATGCCACATGTGCGAAACCGCTTTGACCAGGGGGAACCTCCACTACATGTGAACAAGGTTCGGAAGGGAGATTAAAACTCAATATATGAGTCTTGTTGAGTCTTCCTTGTGCTTTTCTGACCATCGCACTGCCTTTCAATCATGCTGACAGAAAGTATCGACTCATGCTGTACTTGTGTGACATTTTTTGTACGCAATTATACGCAACATTACGCAATTACCAATTACTTTTTAGTCGCTACCAAGACCACTTATATAATCGTTTGATTGATCATGCGCAAGTATAATGTTTCTCCGCAGGTTGCTATGAATGCAACTAGGCAGCAGAGTCCTAACAAATCTCAGCAAGTTGGCACACGGGCTGGGTGAGTGTCTCAAAGTCTCAAGCCTGCTAGCCCAAGGTCTGGGTGGTGGACCAACCTTTCACAAAGTGGAATGCTCAGCCACCAATACTTGTATATCTGATGCAATTGCATATTGAAGTGAAAGTGTTCGATTCACCAGTCTCCAGAGATCCCTGAACGCTGGCCAGAACATGCTCGGAAAGAGTAATTATGATCTGCCCTCGTGTGTTTAGAAGTTTGATGAAGTTTTTGCTTTCTTCGCACCAAGTGGTTGGCCAAACCTAGGCAATCGGTGCAAGAAGCGGCACTGCGTCGAGCTGGCTATCCCAAGGCCACCCCTGGGAACGCTGGGGAGAGCAAGGGAGAGACAGAGACCGGGGAGAGCCTACGATATCAACATCAAACCACGTGAAAATTGACTGCGGTAGCAGAGCTGTTTGGCTATTGTCGATTGTGTTCACCAGCTTGTCATGATGAAAGGCTGCTGAAGGACTGCGGGAAGAGAAAGAGAATGGAGATGTGAAAAAGTAAGACGCCAGACGCTCAAATGGCAGAGTTGTGCGCGAGTGAATGCATTGAATTAGTATTTATTTGGCTGTGCGAGCATGATGCGTTGAAATGGAACAGTTTTGTTTCTTTTTTCGGTTGAGTCTGGGTTTGAGCAACTGTCAAGATTCGATCAAGGGTTGCGTTGTTCTTTGCCTAGTTGGAAGGTGTCGAATCAATGTTCTCCTTTATATAGCAAAAAATAGCTGCATATGTGTTTTGAATGTATGGATGTGTCTTGTGTTTACACGAGTAAAAGAGTTGACTCAGAAGTGACATATGATCGAGAGTTTGTGTTGCGATTCCTTTGGTGGAAGATCAGATCATGGGAGTTTGGTGCGGATGTTCATCCAACCTTGGCCCCAACGAAAACACCGGTTTGGCTGCGATTGCAGTCACTTTATGGCTCATACCGCATTGCCGATGAACCAACTATGGTTACCGAAGTGCTTCGTCAGCAGTCACAAGGACGTTAAGCGGTGTAGTGCGTTTGTGTCTTGGAGTCTTCCTACAGTTCACCTTATAGCCGCAGTATAATCTATGTTTGTATTATCTAGGCATACGAATGCGATGAGTTGTGCAGAGATGCAAAGGGTGCTCATCGTTTGCAAGTACTGAAACGGCAACCCAGTATGTTACAGTAGGCAACACTATTATATAGGGTGGAGGCCATCGCTAGTAGGTTGGGCTAGGACAACCATCAGTTGTGGCAGGCAAACCGGCAACCTAGTATCATATGTTTTGATGGGCACAGCGAATGTTGATCATCACCAGATCTGAGGCGGCGCATGTCGCATTCGTGCTCCTTGCCTTGACAGCTAGTGCTGCTGAAGGGCACGGTCACAAATGTATACAAATTCATTCATTGGTTTGTGTGGGCAAGGCCACTGTGCATGCTCTCTTTACTATTCTTGACCATCCCAATTCCCCCCGAAGGGCAGCTTAGCTATGCAGAAATGAAGGTGTGCTCCAAGTGTCCCACAACATCTTGGAATGGCACGCAGTCAGCATGCTGAGGTTTTTATGGCTTCAGGTCTACGCATCGCCTGACTGCAGCTGGTCCGGTCTACCCGTCACTTGCCGACGTGGCTCCTGACGTTGGTCGCGTGGGCTGCTGTTTCCAGTTGTATAGCCCCTAGTAGCGTCCTTGCTCCTAGCAGTAGGGCCAAGAGCCCCTAGTAGCTTCTTCTTCCTAGTAGCGATGCCAGGAGCCCCTAGTAGCTTCTTTGCTCCTCATAGCTTCTGAAGAGATGTCTTCGAGACTCCGAGAAGGAAAAATGACTGATTGTCGTTTAGTTGTAGAAAATTGCTCTTCAGCTTTGCTAAAGAAGCTTGAAGGGTCTGTAAATGTCAGTTGCTGGAGACTCTGCAGATTCGAAAATTGTTGTGAAATTCATTCCGAGGACAAGGGCGCTGGACTAGTACAGAGGGATATAAGGAGGCAGCGGCTTGGCTGATCAAAACCGAATCGTTCATGCTCACTTCGCCCCTGATGCGAATGCAAAGCGCCCTCTTTTGCTTTCTATTCAGCGGATGTGCTTTGCTTGGATGAACCAAATGTTGAATTTTTATGAATTGATGTATTTCTTTGTTCACAGGTGTTCAGTTTATTTTGGCTGCAACTATTCTTCGTATGGAAGCAAGTGAGGGTACTGAGGCAAATAATCGCGCCCCTCGCATGTGAGCAGCTTTCACTGCAGAACTGCAACGAAAACAGCATTTGTGGTTGGTCGCTTTGCTGCAAAAGCTTTGCACGATATGCCACGAGCTGCAGCTGCACAGTTCTTTTTCTTGCCCTCTCGACTTGGCCTTGCTGAACTTCGTAGCCTGCTTTTGGGCTAGTTCATTCTTTGTATGACTCATGACATTTGGCGTACCTCTCAATAGGCGCACAGGTTTGTGAGTTGAATAACTAAGGAACAAAGAATTGGAGCGCTGCCAACCCTATATTGCATGGTTTCATGTGATGAAGTGTGGGCCACTTTGATGAGTTCTTGATGCCAATTGCGTGTGGTTTCATGCACGAGGTTTGAGAGGCAGGCAAGCCTGTCAATGTGCTCTTGACCAGATACAATCAGATACATGCACAATAGACTCACAATAGACTGTTGACATTGGGTGAATTGCTTGCACTCTGATGACTTGATGGAAAAGACATTGTTTTGCCAAAGATTGTCCTTGTGCCTTTGAAGACACTACAACTAAAGATATCGTTTGTTGACTTTAAGATACTTTAAGTTCATTTGTATATATTCGTTTTGATTGCCTTTTTGACAATCAGAGCATTGACAAGTGCACTGAGTTCAACGTTTGGAGCTACGCTCGCGCACTTTGCAAACTCTTCGTTGCCCAAGCTGGCGCACATGCCATCTTGCGGCCACCATCTCAGCACTACGAGCACCTCTGAAGAGTCAAAGAAGCAGTATTCGCTGAAGAGTGCTTTAGAGAGGGTGGAGGGAGCCTCTTTTGTGTTCCTGAAACCAGGAAGTCTGGTTGACGAGGCAGAGGCCGGACCGTATTCCAGCTGGTTCAGAAAACCAAATGACGTCGGGAAGAGAAGTGGTGCTCTCCCCTCCGGTGTCCCTACAACATACTGCCAGTCGTGCTGAGAATTGGTGTCTATACGCAGCTCAATTCCAGGATCCCTGTCCGGGTGGAAGCCAAGGGCCTTATGAGCACCTTGGCGTCAACTCAGAGACTCAGAGTTGCATTCTTTGACCATTTGACCGCTGGCTATCCGGTCTGGCAGCATAATTTCCACACATTGACGTGTGGGGTTTTTGTTTTTAGTGTGGTATCCGCTCCTCCTTCCTCCTCTTCCTCCTCCTCCCGCCTCCCGCACCAACCAACTGCCACCAACCAAGTGCCACCAACAAATTGTCATCAACCAATTGTCAACAACCAATTGCCACCCACGAATCGTCACCAACCAATTGCCACCCACCAATTGCCACCAACCATTTGTCACCAACCAATTGTCATCAACCAAATGCTACCCACCACTTGTCATCAACCAATTGCCACCCACCAACTGTCACACAACCAGTTGTCAACAACCAATTGTCATCAACTCACCAACCAATTGTCATCAACCGCATTGTCATCAACCAAATGTCACCAACCAGTTTCCACCAACCAATTGTCACCAACCAATTGTCATCAACCAATTGTCGCCAACCAATTATGATTTGCTTGCTAATTGTCTTCTCCAGGGCGTCGGATGTACGCCCCGGTGCTGGCCGGTGCTGGTGGGTCTCCGCCGCTGTTCCGCTGTGATTTGCGTGCGAGGTGTTCAAAAACATTGTGTTTTACAGGGTTTTGTGGGCACCCGGACGTACATAATCGGATTTTTTTAGTGATGGGCCCGTGTCAACACAAATGGTGCAAAATGTAAGTACCCCAAGATGACCCAACAGAGGCCCCCAAGACAGGTCCAAGATGGGTTAACATAGCCCCAAGACGGCCTAACATAGTCCCAAGATGGCCTACCAACCAGCTGTCACCAACCAACTGCCACCAACCAATTGTCACCAACCAACTGTCACCAACCAACTGCCACCAACTAATTGTCACCAACCAATTGTCATCAACCAATGGCCACCCACAATATCCCACAATCAATTGCCACCCACCAACTGCTACCAACTAATTGTCACCAACCAACTGTCGCCAACCAATTGCTACCAACCAATTATCACCAACTAATTGTCGTCAACCAGCTCTCATCAACCAATTGCCGCCCACCAATTGCCACCAGCAAACTGCCACCAACCCATTGCCACCAGGAAATTGCCACCAACCAATTGCCACCAACCAGTTGCCACCAACAAACTTCCACCCACAAACTGCCACCAACCAACTGCCACCAACAAACTGCCACCAACCAATTGTCACCCACCAACCACCAATTGTCGGTTCCTGTGTCTGGTGAAGTTGTGAACATGTGGGGTTATCCGGTCTATAATTACTGTTTTACAAGCCACTCATGACGTGTCATGTCAGGTCTTACAATTCGTGTACATTGGGGCTCAAGTGGTCGGTAGGATAATTTTCGCTTCATGGGCCGACTTTCGCAAGGGGAGCTTCCTTGAAGAAGCGCTCGCACTATTCATATGGCAGATACTGATACAAAGCACGTTGGGTTCAAGGTTCAAAGCACGTTGGTCTCACTTCCATGTTTTTTCCTAGTTTGCGATGACGAGCTTGTGAGGCAGACGGACTCAGCGCAAACTAAGCGACCGGTAACAGTGGTAAGAGCACATGATGAGCGTGTGTGTGTGTGTGTGTACAGTCACCGTACGGATCAAATACTACATGTTCCTGAGGTTTTTCGTGACAAAGTATCCCAAAGATGTTTGGTTCCGTCTCTTGGACCAGAACGCGGGAGTGCCTTGGGGGTTTTGCTTGTCTCCAGTCATTTTCTCTTAAGCGCCTAGCGAGACAACTTGTTTGCACGTTGTTTCGAAAGGAAAAGGTCTAGAGTCAAAAGTTCCTGGTGCGTTGTTTCAATTAGAGATACCATGGATTCTGAAAGTCACCAGGCGATGTATTTTGGTCCAATTCCAATGATCCTGACCCTGGGAACCATCGGGCCATACCAGATGCGGCTTGGATTGATGTTGAAAGACTGGGCCAAAAAGATGTCACGCCCTATCGTATGCCATGACGTGAGTTGGAGGAGCACGCAGTAGACAGGCAGGGATTCTTCAAGCAAACTACTGTAACATACTGTAACTACTGCAGCCAGCTCCCAAGCTGCGATTGCCACGATTCTGCAAAACCTTTTAAGGCTGCTTATGAGATATGGAAGCTTTGCTGCATTGTTTGGACACCATCACAGATATGGCTGGACTTGGAACCGCTACTCGATTCACTTGCCATTGACCGCTTATCATTTCTAATTACCTATAGAGCGTCAAATCATGTCCAAGAAGACAAGTCGTCATTCCCTCTCATTTCTTTCTTTGTGTGATTGCATTGCAGGAAAGGTCATTTTGTCCGGAGCTTGAAAGCAAACTTGAATGTGGGTCGCATTGATGATAGCACCGAGAACGCCTCAGAAAGTGCTTGTTTTTTTCATCAAGTGAACATTCTTAGCTTCTAAGGTGGGGCTTTTTCGGCAACCGGAGGTCCGCGTGGCCTCTGCATTCAATCACTTTTGCGAGCCCCTCATAGCTTCAGCCGAACACGAACGCATCAACATGACACACGCTGTCCACCAGTCACTTGCATGATATTTCTCACGTTGAGGCAAATCATGTAGCAATGTTGTTGCAGAATTGGATTTGGCACCTTGGGCTCACCAGTAGCTCAGGTTCGGTCAGTTTGCTCAAGGTACTGTGCATCTTGGCTAAGCGACCAATGTTTTGTCAAATTGTGTTGTTGTTGCTGTTTATATCCCGATAGGCTAGGCTGCAGTGTTGGGGTGCGAACGAAATGAGTAAGTTCGGAGAGGCTGACCCAGAGCCTGGTGGGGGAGAGCGAAAAAAAGAGGTGGTCGGGAGGTAGTGAAAATGAGTTGTTTTTAGGGTGCTGTGATGTAAGTGATGTAATTGGCGGCGAGTGGTGCATCATTAGCATCATGAGGGGCTCAGGAGGCAATGTAATCATGTCGATGAGAAGAAAGGCATGGCTTGAGGCCAAAGATGGGCAAAAGACCAACACACCAAACCAAACCTTCCCCGGACTACAGGGGTGCCCTTTTTCACCTTCACAACGCCCCGACATCAGGACAAAAAAGGGCACCCCCTCCCAAACCTATGCATTCCACTTTCTATTTCCATGCTTTCTCAAGTGACAGCAATATCAACTTCACCACTGCCGGCTACTCTTTGTCCACTCTACCTATATACATATATGTATCCTTACGAGGCCTGCCGGTACCCTCGCCCATAGGCCCCCCACAACCAGCTTTGCTCATTGTTTAGCGACACGCAGCAAGCAAACGCACATAATATACCTCAAGGGTGCCCTTTTTCACCTTCAAATCGCACCTGAACGAAGACGAAAAAGGGCACCCCCGCCAACCTACGTGCTGCAATATCAACTTCACCACTTCCAGCTACGTCTTTGCTCACTGATTCGCAACACACAGCAGGCAAGCGCCCCTCACTTCAAGGATCCCCTTTTTCATCTCCAAAACGCCCCTGAACCAGGACGAAAACAGGCACCCCCCAAAACCTATGTATTCTACTTTCTGTTTTGGCCCCCTATTGGGGTGGCTGCGATATCAACTTCACCCCATGAAAGCACTCTTTCCCCGATATTACCCAATCACTTCATCTTGCACGCCAAGTCTTTGGACCTCAATAGCCAACAGCGAGCAAACGCCAGGCTTGCCCTAAGACCACCCCCCCTAACCCAGAGGTTGGCTTTCGTCCCCTCCCTTCTCAGGTACACGTATATATATATATACATTCTGCCGGTATAATGAAAATCAAATAACGATGTTGAACTCTTTGACGCAAAACTTGTTGACACACCCTCCTTTTCTGACTAGCTTCTTTGCAGCAACACATAAGTGTTTCATGGCTTGGTTCACTGTTTGACAGAGTTTCTGAGATGTCTAAATTGAGAACTTGAGGACGAAGATGCTTGGTGGAGATTATGGTTTCTTTGGCAATGATCCAGTACGTTGTGAATTTCGGTCCAGCACTCAACAACGTCAAGGGGTTGAACGGGGATTTGCATGTTCGATCCAGTTCGATGCATGAGGTTTGCTGACTATTATAAAACCGATCGTGAATGTTGGGTCCTTAGCATTCCTTGAGTGGCGGGACGATCCAAGGCTTACTAAGTCCAGCAGGATCCAGGAGGATCGATAGCTTCCGGCTCCTAAGGCCATAGTGCGGCATGCAGGAACTGCATGCAAAGTGCTACTGAAAAAGACGTGGAAAAGGCTATTCAAAGGCACAGCTGGGAAAACAGCCAAACAGCCTTTTCGGTTCCGCGATGTTTGGCAGTGCAGTGTCTCATGATTTACATTTTTTGTGATTGTTTCAGCCTGCCTGGTTGCTTTGTCGTGATTGCAACGTCCCAGTTTCTTTCGCTATCGACTTGTATCTCTTTCAGGCTGCAGGGCTTCGCGTTTGTGGGCCTCACCGACCATTTCGACCTCTCTGTGTGCCTTTTTCATGCTACTTTGAGTTTATTGGTCGATCTCTTTGGCCTGCCAACTTGCAACATTTGCTTGGCTAAGAAGCAGGAAGAGTGGACAGTCTTTTGGCGGTTGAGTGGTTGCCGAACTAAGGGTAAACAGGAACCTCCAGATCATTTGCTTGTGTCTAGCGCACAGCGGAAGCAACTGCCTTTGAGGCCATGTTCGGCGGAGAATGTCTTCCAGTGGAGTGGCTTCAGCTGCAAGATGTCAAATTGTGCCCGATATGCTCCCAGAATGGGACCCAGACGATTGTTTGATCTTTATCCATCAAATCGATGTCATTCAACTGCATTGCCTTGAGATGTTTGACGGTCATAGCTCCGCTTTTGCAAGCGAAGACCAAAGAAGTACATAAGTACATCGAGTACATGTCCGCTCTCGAAAGGTTTGTCAACATGCGCAAGAGCATCTATTCCAAGGCCGGCTTACTTTGGCCATTTGTTGTGCGGAAATGTTGCATTGCCTACGAGTGAGAGATTGATTTCCGATATTTCCCCTTGGTCCATGCTGTAGTAGTGTAGTAATCCCGAGTGCTGAAAAGGAGCATTTTGCTTTTCCTGCATCATGACCATATCCAGTTTGATCAGGATTTCACCAAATACCTCAACGGATACGAGGACGCATGCAGTTGAACTACTGCAGTGTCGTTTTGCAGTCGAAGACCACGTTTCATCCATCCGCGACAGTTTCCACCGTACTGATTGGTGTCGATGTTTTGGCGTTTAATAGCGGAATAATATATATATACATATATATATAACAAAGAAGCAATATGACAATATATTATATAGTTTAATAAAACTGCTAGCGATGGTCTCCAACCTAATAGCGATGGCCTCCAACCTTCCAAAGATCTCGAAGAAGGTCAAAGTATGAACATGCTGTGACAGATGTGCTTTCAATTGTTGATTTGAGGATCCTTTCGATGCTCGTGTTTTCCAAGAGGCGTCCAACATTTTTTGGTCAAATGAGACTAGGCTGCAGCTCGAAGAGCATGTCATGTTCACGGAACTGTATTTGAACTCTTTGCTGAATAATATCCGCGAGGGCATCAAGTTGTTTATAGTGAGGGGTGTGAAAATGACATGAGCTCGTGTTAGCATCACCGCTGGCACAAGAAACCCAGTGGCAAGAAACTAACCAGTCAGTCAGTCAGTCACTCAGTCAGTCAGTCAGTCAGTCAGTTTCTTGGGTAGTTGACGCACTTGCTTGTTGAGTTATCTCCGTAGTATGTTCGTCACTTGCTATGTAAGTCACCATGCTACTGGACTTCGGTCTTACTTAGGTCGTTAGTTGGTTTGCTGGTAAGTTACATCAAGGGTTTGTAATGTACCACGTGGTTGGCTCATACTGACAAGTCCTAATGTTGCATTCCAAACTGTCAGGTGGGAGTGCACAACAGAAAGTACCCCTGAATTGTTTTTTGGAGCGGAATCATACAAATACAAGGTTGTTCTTGTCAAGATATTTCTATATATAATAATCAGTTTTGTTAACTTAAATTGGTTTGTTTGCTTACCTGCTATATAAGCTTTCTGTTGTTCAGCTATTGGTTCCTGTTGAGGTCCTTTCTTGTGCTTAGCTTTTGCTACTTTCGCTGCTTTCGCTGCTGCTGCTGCTGCTCCTACTGATGTGATGTGGTTACTTATTGAGTACGTCAGCTGGTCAATCAGACAGTTTGCTAATGTTCGCTAGTTGTGAACAAACCAATCACCCCCGTGTTTGATTTCTCCCTCACCACCAAAAGCACCAGCACCTTCCCCGGAAGGGCGCCTTGTTCATTGTTCCGGCAGGCCCCTCACGCAGTTAATTGCACCACTCACCCAGGAGTTTGAACTGCAAGACGGTGAGGCAGTTAACTGCAGATAGACACCAAGTGGCAATATGAACAAGAGCATCCACCAAAAACAAGTACTGCCCGGCCCGGGATGTTCCAGCATTGCCAAATTGTCGACTTAGCTAGCCTGGCTTTCGTTCGTCATTAGTGTAAGCCCAAGGTCTGAACTCCCATAGTGCGTAGGGTTGTGCCTGCGTTGCGTATAATTTGCATATCGTCGGGGCAGCATCCATTGTGAGGTGCAGCGCTACAATGTGAATGCAGAGACCTGCCAAAGGCCGGTGAAAGTTGGATCGGGGTCAATTTTGGGGTGCCTGTTCTCGTATTGATTCATTCTTAAACCGGATCCTCGGATGTTGACTGTGCAGTACTACTAATTACTAATAATGTAAGACTCAAGGAGATGCTGTACAAGCCAGTCTATTCGGATATTCGTTGCGATTCTTCACAGGATATGTCTTAACAGCAACGCCACCTTCCAAAGAGCTCAGCCGAACTGAGTGGGAACGATTCATACTTCGAGCTCTTGAAGAAAAAGTTGCTGTGCTTCTGGGAGTGAGCTAGAGAACGCCAAGGACGATAGACATTGGTTCAGAGTGAGGGTCTATGTGTGCTTCTTTGATCTTCTCTGCATGTTTCTTTCTTGAAGGCTCCAGACATGTTTGCTTGCGACTCGATTAAGTCGCACTCTGTAAGTTTTGACTTGGACACTGGGCAGATCAGAAAGTCTTATACAAGGATTTTCCGATTTGGAGGCTGAGGGAGAGCTTCTTCTGTGAAACCTCACAAGAACACCATTAATATAGTTTTGGATTGCGTTCAAAGCGTGGCAGAACCACAATCCTCCAGCTCAAGCCATGGAGGGCACTGAGTCTTGGAGATGATTAACAGCTTATGATATTCTTCTGATTTCTTCAGGTTTTTCTGTTTAACAAGGGCTCTCCATGGGTGATGTCAGGAGATTCATCGCCTGACATCATCATCGTGTCACTCCCTTTGTATCCTTTTTGTTTCACCTCATTGCACGATGTCTTCGCCTTCGCTCCCAGGAGATGTCGCAGCGAGATGTCGCGAGATCCGAAAACGAGATGTCGCGAGAAAGCCGACCACTGGAGATTCAGCAGTGGGAAGAATTTGACAATTACAGTGGCTGGGATCAAAGCAGTGTTTGGTTCGGATTCGCTTTTGGTGTTGCTTGAGAACCAGCATGAAACAAATTGGATCATGATTCAGCTACAAGAAATGGTTTTGTAGCCAGGAAATGAATATGAAGTAGTCCATAATTCAGATCGTCGTGTCTTGATCTCGGAAATTGAAAGTACCCACGAAAACCAACAAAAGTATACAAAAGTAACAAAAGAGAATTCATGTTGCAGGTCGAGAGGAGAAATTGGAAGTGCTTCAAAAGTGGATCAATATGGATGTGCCTGCTATCGCTGTGGCAACTGTGAAGGCTGTCATTGCACAAAAGATGGGTCACTTGTATTGACTTGCTGTTCCGAAATTGCAAGCGAAGCTCCTTAGTATGCACAAGTAAGTAGCTAACTAAGCTAACTAGCTAACTACCTAACTAACGAGCCCACTAACCAACTAACCAACTAACTGAATAAGTAAATAACATGAAATCACTGACCAAGTAATCAAAATTAACAAGCTAACCAACCAACGAACCAACTAACAAACGAAGCGAATATATGAACAAGTAACTAAGGCATGTAAGTGTGTAAGTACATGAGCCTGTGAGTGCATGAGAAAAAAAGTTAATGTAAACGCGAGTGTGTGAGATTGCTGAAGAAAGAATAAGCAAGGTGTGTGATAAAGCAAGCAAGGAAGCAATTGAGTTAGTAGACAACTTGAGTTGCTTTCATTACATGTCACTGTTCGGTCCCACTTTGTTCTACAAGCGAACACATTTTGCACATGGCCACTTTGCTAGGGTGTCGTGGAGCAGCGCCCCGTTTTGGTCTCCTTTTGGGCTCTTGGGCTGTTGATTGCTGCCTTCGCTGGAGGTTTGCCGGTAGACCCTGTATCACAAGAAGCACCGCTTGGCACAAGTACAGAGTTACAACCTGGAAGCAGTACGCCAGTATGCCTTTCACTTCCTCTCCAGCTCCTTCAAAAGCAAATTTGTTGAGCTTTCAGAGAACCGCACCCAATTGGACACAGTGAAACAAATTGAGAGCCTGGGAGGCAGAAGAATGTTTTCGAATCGCCGCATTTGGGTCCATCAGGTACACCACGATGCTGCAACAGGCAGAAGTCATCGACAGTCGAGAGTTGGGTCAGCAAGCCGAAGTAGAGCTTGAGATGCTTGGCACAAATGTCTGACTGATTGATATGCCACGTGCCTCAAAAAGATACATATTATATACGGCAAAACTAGTGCTTGCAACAACGTGCTTTCAGCTTGAGGAAGGCTGAATCTGCGTATTATTCAAAGAGCGGCCTTTTCAGCTGTGACGATGCTTGCCAGAAAGCCTATGACAAGGCATGACTGTTGCTTTGGGGCGGGTGTTAGAAGGCGGCTTCATGGTGTTATCAGCTCCAAGCCTTTCTGTCCATCGATATCCATTGCTTTGTCTTGCTCAACTTTTGTTTGGAAAGCTTAGCTACAGGAGTCTTGACGGTTTTAAAAAGAATCCGCAATTTCATCACTGAAGAAGCTGCAAAACAAGAATCAACGGGGCCAGATACTACCAGAGACGCGTGGGTTCCAGCCATGGTGACCATCGCCACAGCCAGTTTTCCAGACTCTGATCATGAAGATGAGGATTTTGAGATACCGGAAGCTCAGGAGGGTGACACGAAAGAAACAGCTGAGATTCCAGTGAAGCCAAAGAATGACCGCAAAAGGCAGCGAAGAACGGAAGATCTTTGGAAAGAGATGCAGCAAGAGGAGCTGCAGTCTGCGAAACGATGGGTGAAGAGACCTTGCCCAGACCAGCTGCTGCTTTGCGAATATTGACCCACAACAGTTGAGACGTGAGAACATGTGAGAACAATGCTATCTTAAGGCACTATATCAGTTGCCCCAAGTCAACACAAGTCAGCTGTCATGCCAAACAGACACCGCCAAATGCTTCGTATCAGTCGAAGGCGTTCACCGGTTCGAAGGCCCTCGACAAAATTCGACGAAGTGGCTTAGGGGCATAGACTCAAGGTTCCAGTCGAGTTTGGTCAACCTTAAGAGGAATAGTTCAGTCTTGGACTCCTGACTTGCAACTGATTCGCAAGAAAAGCACGCATGGTGAAGGAGTAGATCAACTGATTTGTTTGGTCAGTTTGATTCCTCAAAATGGTTCAACATGGACATTTAGGTCAACAAATGAAGTGGGACGAATGAGGAATGTGGATTCAATCATGTAGACAGCTGGAGGCTTAAAAGAGTGAGACGGGTGAGATTGCAATTATTCTAGTGCATTTTGGTGAAAAGAGGTGCGCTGTTCCCCGGGTACATACCAGCGCTGCATGTGAATGCTTCAGATCCCAGCGAGGTTTCGCAGCCTTCAGCGGAGAAACGTCACGGAGAAGGGGGACACCACGGAAAGTCCAAAGCGAAAGCAACATGAAATTTTAACACAGCTGGCCAACTACAGTCAAGTTGCAGTCGAAGGACAAGAAATGCCTTCAGCCAGGGAGATGAAGCCTTGGCACAACAGAAAAGAGTCATTTTCACATATTTTAACATGTTGTAGTTGTAGGATGTTGCAGGCTCGTGGCGCCAGGTCCAGGTGAACAACATGATGTGTTTTCTTGACACGTCGAGTGTAGTGTGTTGGAAGTTAATTAGGAGAATTCTCTTGATTGGCACGCATTGTTGGACCGTGTGGACAATTGACTCACGCATATTCTAACAACATTCCCTGTTTGAGGAAGCAAAAGGTGCGCGCGGGAAGTTGCAGTAGGCTCACAACTCCTGGAAGCTCTCGGGTGACCAAGGCAGCCATGTTGGCAGAAGTCTCCAAGTACGGTGTGTCAAATGATCCAAATCCATCAGCCGCCGAAATGAAAAAGAAAATTCGCTTCTCACGCGAAGAACTGTCGGCAGTGTCTGGTGAACCAGTTGAAAGCAAGATGGTGCGGGCTACTGTTGTACAAGAATCTGTGCGTTTCGCTGGTCAGACCCTGACCATCGAACGAGCCTTGGTGCCTGGATCGGCCGAAGAACAGCGCTACCTTCGGACGCAGAAGCGTCGTAGCAATGCAAAGCTTGGTGGAGGTTTAGCAGCTTTGGACAAACTATTGGGAATCTCCAGAGACAAAGAGCTGAATACAATGGATAAATCTGGACTGGACTGGAGTCGGCACAAAGAGGAGGCCAATTTCTGAGGGTGTTTCATGCGCATGTTCTGTCGATGCATCAGAAAGTCATAGAAGAACTCAATGATAGCTCCAGTGAAAATCTCATGACTTGATGTTTTGTAAAGAAAGAAGATGAACAAAAGGCACATGTCGGACCGTTTTAGACCTTTGGGGACAAAAACAAGGGACCAGTTTGCCGCACATGTCCAGGCCGGCCTCAAGGACCTTCGCCGTGACCGCCGCGCTGGCGCCCTCGAGCGCTCTGCTTTCCTGCAGCGAGCGGCCATGCGAGCACAAAGTGCTGCCAAGGCTGCTATGAGAGCAGCGGCCCGGGCAGCTGGTGCGAAAGCAAGTTGAAAAAGGCTAATGTATAAACTGAAAGATCGGGGAAAATGGTTAGAAGCCATCAGGCAAGTTTGAATTGGTTTTGGAGATGGAAGGAGTGTGGGACGTTGTTGCACGGTAAGCCCAACAATTTGTCAGTTCAGGTGCAGATGGCCAGAGCCGAAGTAAGACGAGTTCCTTGACGCACCATACCTTTGGACAACTGCCACCAGGGTTCCCAATGCTTCAGCAGAGCCTATGGTTTGTTCAAGGATGTTTGGATTTTGTTCCAACAGTGAGGTGCAAGACCACAGAGATCGTGTGCTTTCAGAGGGTCGGCACGAAGTGGGCATTTGGTCATCCTATGGTGTGCAGGTGCGGGATGTCAGTATGGCACACCTCATGGTTGATAGATGCACAAGAACAATTTGAAGTCATAGTGTTGGCAATTGCAACAAGTTGTTCAACATTAATAGAAAGTTGATGTGAGTTGCATTGAATTTACCGATTTACCTGTGATTCAATCAGAGCTGGTATGCTGCAGAAGTATCAGAAAGTACGTTCATTTGTCCAGCTCAGAGTTGGCAGTTTGCCAGGATGTTCGCAATAGCTTTTGGAAAGCATGGCAGTCTGGCAACTTGGAAAGGCATCATATTGAGCAGTGGGAAAAATATTTGCCAGACTGAAAGCGGCTACTCACGAACATAACAGCTAATTTGAGTACCAGTTGTCCCATCACTCGCATCACTGTGTAGTTGTATTTCTCGTACAATCTAGAATCAAGAAACAGGAACAAAGCTGCAGACACAGGTGTCGTTTGCTTTTATTGATGAATGTGTTGCAAAACAACTCAGGTAAGGATTTCGCCTCTAGATTGACCTTCTACAATGCCTCTTGGATTGACCCAACCATCGCTCCAATCTCATAATAGATGTTGCTTGGTTGAGTGACTCCCTGCTTCAATGTTTGGCTGATAGAGGGAAGATGCGTGTTTGTGTGTGTCCCAGGTTCTGTTCTCCGTTGGAGCTCGTGACGAGTCTTTGTACATCATGATTTTCCGTGTCATCATGCAGTATGTCCGGACCCCAGCTAAGGTTGTTTATCAGGTAGCCACAGGCAGTAGCAGAGTGACTATCAAACGTGAAAGCTGCTGTTTTGAGGTGGTTAATCTGACCATGGGCCTGATTGGTGCCTTTGGTGTGCTCCTGAGAGCTCAAATTGGCATTCTAAACCGAACATCATAAATCATCAAGGCGGTCAACAAAAAAGAACTATTTTTAATATCTTCTTGTTCCTAGTAAGGCCAGGAGCCCCTAGTAGCGTCCTTGCTCCTAGTAGCGATGCCCTTTGCTCCTAGTAGCGTCAATTCAATGCTAAGGGAATTGGAGAGGCCACGAATGAAGCACCAAGGCTTCTTCTTGTACAATATGTACTACTTGATACTGTCGCATCCTTGGTTCACCCAGTACCCGTCGACATAGACGTGCTAGACTTTAGGCCAAAGATCAAGAGTCAAGAGCATTTGAGCAAAAGAAGACGGACGCACCCAATGGAGTTTGTGATTGGCTTCAAGGTCCTACGGTGCATCTTTCTTCTCCGGCTTGGCTTTTTTCTTGCTAGCCACAGCATGCGTCTCAGAATTGGTCCTGCGATTGAGAGATGACCGGGGGAGCCTTCAACGGAACCTACTTCAGTCAGCCCTTCGTGATTTGCAAAGTACAGTCGGTTCGCTGCTGCAATCACAATCCAACTGATTCCACCTTTCAACTTGGTTGGCAACAGGTGGCGGGATTGTCTTTGCTTAGCACATATTTGTGTAGCTTGCCGCTGGGTTGCACAAAGTATGATGTGGCCATGAGTCAAAACGTTTTGGTATGGAACATGTACTCTTGAACATCTCGTTCCATACCCCGTTCCATACCTGTGGTACAGCATGTTTGTTCACCGTTCCATACCCATCGTTCCATACCTATGGATTCCTAGTTTGCAATTGTTCGAGGTTCAATCAAAACGTGCGCTTTGCTTGCTGAAATACATTTACCGTGAGAAACGGGACTGAGATGACACGTCAGGTTTTTTTGGTACAATTTGTTCCATACCCCCGTTCCATACCTGTTCCATACCTTATGGAACAAGGGATCCGTTCCATACCCTATGGAACAGGAAGGTGCGCGATGTTCACCTGAGACCCGGGTTTTGACCCACACCCATGTATTGAAGCGATCGAAGGTCGATGTCATACATCCCAATCCTCTCACACATGCACAGGTACGCAGTCGTCGCAGGAGGCCACTGCATGGCACTGCAGAAATCCTATCACTGTTCTTTTCGTCATTTGCCTTGCTCTATCAAGTTGTGGCCTCGCGGCAGGTGGGGCAATGATTGTCCAGCAAGCAGCAAGGAGGGGCAATTTGTGAAACAGCTTTCGATTCAGAATTGATCCGACATGTTTCAGCTTAGATTTTGATCAGACATGCTGACAGCGTTCTCGTCAGGCATGCTGCGCTGGAGATGAGCAAACAGGCGAGCGTTTCCACTGTTTGTACGCTGCTGCAAGAAAATGCACTCAGGCTCCTCTCCAAGAGCTTGACGCGAAACCAGCCAAAAAGGCACCGCCAGGAGCTACTCAGAGGCGTTGTCCAGTTTAGGGCTTGTGGCTCAGCCACAGAATCTCGCTTGCACTAGAGGTGGTCAGATTACACATTCGAGACACTAGCTTCTTCAAGAAGATCTATATATATTATATATCCATGTTTGGTGCAATCTCTATTTAAGTCTTATTGATAGGTTCAAACTGTGTCCAATCTGACACATTTTTTGTTTTTGTTCAATGAAAGCTTGCCAACTTCAACAGCCCTTGGTTATCGTGCACAGACAAGGAATAGCTTTGCTGCTGCACACGACTAGCGGCATTTGGAGACAGAGCTGCCAGACACAAAAAGAACCTGCCAACAAGGATGGACGGTCCCAACGTCCAAAGTTGTTATTTGATTTGTTTCTGCTTCTTGACCTGCAGAGCTACATATTTGAATGCATTGCCACAGGCTCAAGTTTCTTTCTTGTACTTCAGATCAAGTAGTCGCCTTAATGTTGCCAGGGCAATTGGACGATACCCGGATAGAAGAACCTGTTCCAGACACGGCTTGGCCCACAAATTTGGCCAAGGCTGGCAGGCAATGCGATAGCTCGTTTGGAGGATCATCAGTTGCCTGGTGACAGTTTTGTCTCCTTGCGCTTCAAAGCTCAAAAGAACCTTCGATCAATCATCTTCTTGCCCTGTGTGTTGCTCGCATTCTTGTCAGACTCAGCCGTCTTGGTTCATGAGACAGAGGCCATTCCAGACGGTAAAGGAGGAAGAAAGTGCATGTGGGGCAACCCGGCGAGGATATTTTCACAGGAAGGAAGTTCTGTCCTGCCATTGCAGGCCTGAGCCCTGTCTACTGGAGTTTGTCGTGGTATGTCCTTTTTCTGATCACCTGCAGCATTTGCTTTTGCAGAGGTCGGGTGATCCCAACAGATCGCTTCTGCAACTCCTCGGATGCAGAAAAGAAGCTCTCGCGCTACTTATTAGATTGTGCTCGAGCTGGATACACAGATGCGCATTTGACAGCCTGGTTTGTAGTGATGACCTTTGCGTTTCTGCACTCGATTTGTGCCCGGATCGTTGCAACACCAGAAGGGGACAACATCCACAATGCTTGCCTGCGTTACGGAGATTGGCGTGGCCACCAGGACTACTGCCAGCCAGGAGGGTTGCTCGAACCAAGCTGGACAGTGACTCTCCTGGGGACCTACATGTGCTTTTCAGCTGCCTTGATGGATCAAGGGACAATCTCCTGGGATCTTGAGGCAAGCGGAACGGGAGATGGTGAAGGAGAGGATCAAAACAGCCGAAGAGGATGGTGTTGGGTGGTGCTCTGGCCTTGTCACCAAGCTTTGCGGTGGCTGACGGTACAGGAGCGGCCCAAGACAAACATCTCTGAGGAGGAAGAAGAACGCAGAAAGGACCAGGGTTGCTCGAGCAACTTTGACTTGTCTTCACAGCGACAGTTTGTTGAACACGATTCCTAATACAGGTTTACACATGAATTCGACATCGTAGCCGGATGTCCAATCTGTTGAAAACTCGATCAAATGTTCAACAAGAACTGGCCCGAGTTGTCAGGAGGAGAAGATCCCAACAAAAACGAAGTTTGTGAACCGCGTCACCGGAGCTGCTGTGAAGTTGAAGGCTTTGGTTCGCAGACAGATGGACATGGTTCGCAAGCGTCAGTTGGCCCAGAACTCCAGCTTGGCCGAGTTCATGCTGGCTCCACTTTATGGGATGGCCTTTGTGGTGGGACTTGAGAATGATCAAGTTGAGAGCTCTTGCTTGGACTTGGACGACTTTTTTGAGAAGAATTTGATTGATATTTTCCGGCCCATGGAATTCCAGGAGAGTTTGGAAAAGATTTCTTCGACCAAAAAGTCAGAGGTCAAAGACCTTGAGCTTTGTGGGCCCGACGCTTTGGTGCGTGCCAGGGCAGAACTTGGTTTGCGCACCAGTGGATGTCCGATGAATGAGGAATGGAAAGAGACTTTAGAGCACTTTGATAGTGCCAAAGATGCAGTGGGACGGTGGAACCGAAGTTACGATGAGGTGAACAATGGTGAACATACTTCAAGAGTACAGCTTCTGTGGTGTGCTGGGCAGCTTCCATCGACATGGATTCAGCAGATCAGTGACCGAAATCATTGGCGACTCCGAAAGGAACGGAGACGAAAAGGATAAAAAAGATGAGAAGAAGAGAACCCCCAAGCATCGATGTTCGATCTGCCAGATTTGCGGTGGATGTCGTGGACACGTGGTTTTAGGCCTCCTTCTGGGGATGTTTGCCTTCTACCTGTTCTCCTTTTGGGCTCCACAAGGTGATTCATATGCCTGGGTCTACTACATTGTGGACACGGAGGCATTTGTTCAAGTTCGTTGCCAGGAAACTAATGCTACCGCGAGTCCCAGTCCCTGGTGCTACGCACCAAAATAGTTGCTCATGTCTCGCACGACATTGTGGGTTCCTCACAGTGTGATGATGAGTGTGGATCGGAATTATGTTGGAGTCTGTCTTTGCGCTGTCCTCAAGGCCTCGATTTGTGGAATGCTTGGGAGTATTTTTGCGATCACTGTCGCCAAGACTGTCTCCGGCCTGCAACAAGCCGCACATCCTATGCAAATCTTGAACGCAATTCTAGCATGGTGGGCCAGAACTGGATCAGATGACAACGTGCCATTTGCACGTTTGGAAGCTGGCAAGGGACTCTATCTTGCACAATGATGTGAAGAACATCCTTGACCGGTATGAGAATGTCGTCCTTGCCTACCTTGCCGTGTCTTTCTGGCTCATCACAGACTCTGCTGTTCAGATTGCCCTCTTCAATAATGCTCCAAATGTATTGGCCGGATTCATGTTGCTGGTAGTTGGTGGCTCAACCTTCCTATGCGTTTACCAAGCACTTTCAGTTCACTACAGCCAGATCCAGCACATTCACACATTAAAGCGCTTGAAGCAGGCTACCTTCTTTTGTGGTGCAGAGCCGGACCGAGAGCATCAAAGGAGGCTCCTAGATAATGAAATATCGTTGATGTTTTAATGATGTATGAGAATTATATTTTTTATATCTATATCTATAGATTGTAGAACTACATCAAATGGCCTATATATATATATATATAAAAGCATATAAATATTGTTTAGATAACAACAACTAGCAAAGTAACCCCCACCCATCCAACCTAGTAGTGAGAGAGATCAGTAGTAAGCGGACTTTTTGGCTTACGAGTTGGTGGAAGAGAAATGCATACTGGTGTGCCCGGGCATCCTTTGCTTGGTACGTGCCTCGTCTAGGATATTTAAGTTCTTTCTTTTTTGTCTTCTTCTGCGTCCCATCATACCACCGCTCACAACCACACGAAAACCATTCCCCGCAAGACTTCCCTCGTGGGATGGTTCACATGCTGCAAATAGTAACTGACGCAGACCAGTGTGCCCATAAAGGCTTTGTTATTTCACTTCCACCACTGCAAGGCTGGGTTGAGAATCAGCTACTCTCTATAGTGTACAGTCATTGACACGAATTTGACTGAAAGCTCCCTTCTACGCAAAACACTTGGAGCACAAAACATACTTAGCAGGTCCTTTTCCAGACACTATTGAACGTTCCTAGAATTCAGGGCCCACTTCCATCCGCACTTGGTTGTCCAGTCAGACGGATTTTGCCAAAACAGGCAACCCTGAGTCAAGTGGACAGTGCCTGATACCATGTTCTTGACGTATCTTTCTTGACGTATCTTGGCCTCAGGGTGTTCCACAATATCCTCACATCATTTTCCAAAACAGGGTTCGATGACCCGTTGTCGGCATGGGCAATGCTTTCAATTATGGGTTCTCGACGTACTTCTTCTTTGATGGCATCAATTTCCTCTTGAAGCTTCCTAATAGCTTCTGGATTTGACGGTAGTCGCTAACGCTTTGGCGCCAGAGTGCCTCATGAAGCGCCCGGTGACCCTCTGAGGATCAAGGTCCCTCGCATCTTGCACGCGCTGGACGATCCTTGCTACGTCGAGCTGCGCTGCCTCTACAACATCAGCCTTGTTGTCCAACCAATAGAGTCGAGTGCGCAGCCTGCAAACCCCTGACCTCTCAGTCTTCTACCGTGACGTCAAAAGGACAGGCCATGCCACGTGCACCCGCAACAAGCGAGAGTTCTGCGCGCGCCGCGGCCACACGGGTCATTCTTGGAGGTGGTAAGACAAACCGTCATTGTTTTGTCTCATCGATCTTGATTACCGACTCATGCAGCATGAGACACGCCAACTCGACTTCTCGCAGGAGGAAATGCGAGCCAAACGCCCACAGGAGCGCCCCCTGTGTGGGGCCGTGGGCTTGGTTGCTATCACCACGCCTCCTTCAAGTTCGAAGAGTTCCTGGAGCCACTCGATCTTGATCTCTTCGGATCTAGGGGGCCCGAAGCCACAAGTGCATACACGTTTGCACTCCTTCAGGTACAGATCGAGCTGTGGGTTCCAGGCAGAACCTTCCTTCAAGTGCCTTTGCCGTGCCTCTGCCGCCTCTAGGATGTAGCTGAAGGTGCTTCTGAACCCAGCTGCTCGCATCACCGAACAGAACAGCTGCATCTTCTTTGTGCTCAATGGGAGAGGGGCCATCGAGTGTGTTTCCAACATTTCGATCCAGGCCTTGAACAACGAGCTCTTGGTAGTAACAAGTGCCACGCTAGTAGTAACAGGTGCCTTACTAGTAGTAACAAGAAGCTATTAGAAACAAGTGCCTTACTACTAGTAACAATAAGAATTTAATTAGAATTCTAATCTATAGCTTCTTGTTACTACTAGACTTCGATCCAGGCCTTGAACAACGAGCTCTTGGTTTCTATTTCAAGCCGCATATGACAACTGTTAATACCCCATCCTGGCCCGATGAACAAGGGCAGGGGACTCTGCGATCTCCAAAGCCCGTTTCAGCGAAGGACGCTGCCTGTTTCCTGCCGCCACAGGGTTCGGAGTCAGAGGCGCGCCCCGCCGAAACTGCATGAGGTTGTCAGCGTTCATCAGGTCACTCGGAGTGTCACTCGGGTGCTCCCATGATGAAACACTTGCAGATGACTCTGCGGGTCTTCCCCCACTTCCAGAAGCACTCGCAACATCTCACAACTAAAACTTCAGGTTGCTCAACCCTCAAGTTCACTCTCTCCCGCACCGGGGCATATTGCGGTTTAAGGTCACTTCCGACTAGCCAAACAGAGCCGTTTGCTCGACCACGACTCTGAGTGCGCCCTCTCAGGGTCCATCTTGAGCGATGGCTCGCGCACCAACCTCACATGTGATCTAATAGCATGAGGCACGTATAGGTTCGTCGGCGTGAACCGGGAAACGTTGAGCGCAAAACGGCTGTCGAAAACATCGCACAAAAAAAATAACACTTATTCATTCTTAATCTAAACAAATAAAATATAGAGGTTCGTAAAGAATATCGTTTCAAAAACCGCATGTTCTTAGTTATAAAATATTGTTGAATTCCATTTATTTCGACCGGCGTATCGCCTCGAGAAAACGTGTTTACGATGGTATTTAATAGATTTCGATTGTGACGTCCTTCGAACGGTGGAACTTATAGATATTCTAATTTAAGAATGAATTTTCCTTTGATTATGTTTAAAGGGGGGTTGTGTGTATGGAATTTTAGAACGATTAATTAGTTGATTATATGTTTATGTTTGATAAAAATTTCATATTAATTATTAATAAATAAAGGATTATATAAAATTAAAAATTTGTTTTGTTATGAGGAATTATGTAAAGTTTAATTGGATTTATTTAGGTTTAATTTTGCATAAATTTAAGTTATATTCGTTGATGTGGATTCGTGTTTTTAAAATATATAAGTTGTTTTTATTTAAATAATTTATTGAAAATATTTTATATGGATAAGCGAATTTTGAAAATCGATAGGAAATTTGTAAAAATATATGTTTTTGTTATATTATTTTTTAGATATTTTGTATTTTATTATATAATTGGTTTTATAGCATTTATGATTTAAAATTTAAGATTTTTTTATATTATAGTATTCGATGGATTTGAGTTTTTAATATAATATATATTATATTGATTGATTAAATATATATATATATGAACGACGGACAAAATTATTGGTTTATTTTTTTAGTTATGGCATGATTTTAAATTTATGTTGAGGGTTTTGGGGAAAATGATATGATTTCCACAAAAAAAAATGTTAAGATATAATAAATACAAAGATATTTATGATTAGAAGATGTTAATGTATTCGTATATTAATTTAAATATATTTGAGTTAACCCGATGGATATAATGTTTAATTAATAATAATCCTAGACAATTTGCTAAACGATAAACAAACGATAATTTAAATGTTATGTTAGGCACTCCGTAACGTAGACTTATTTCTCTTTATTATTAGTATTGGTCCGAGCTACTAGGTCCTCGTTTATTTGTTGTGATCTTTTCGTAGTTCGGTGCCACAAGAATTTAAGTGCTTTAATTAAGTGTTGTGTTATTCTTGTGTAGGAAGCACTCTGAGGTTGCGAGTTATATTTATTATTTTGGCCTATATTAGTATTTTATGCTAATTACGGTTTGGAGAAATATTGAAAAACGATATGAATTTCCCCAAAAATAATAACGATATTAAATAGAATTATACTACATAAATATTTTTGTCCGCTACTCATATAATTCCCGATTAATCGTATGGAATTATAGTAAATTGATTATTGTTATACTATTTGGCATTGTACGAATTAATAGCTTGAAATTTGAATATATATATTTTAATTAATATTAAAATATTTTATAAATATCTAATAAAAATGCCTTTTTTAACTAGAAAGTACTATAATAAAACGATATTAAAGAAATCTTAATAAATATTTTTATTAAAATATCGTCTATATAACCTTTGTAAAAATTCTTTTCGTAATTATTTTTAAAAAAATATTATTATAATTATTATTTATAAATTAATTTAATTTAATAAATAAATTTTAATAACAAAAATTATTTTAAAAAGTTAACTAATTATTCCGAATAAATACTAAAATACCATTATAAATTTCCATATATAAAAAAAAAATATTTAAATAATTTCTTCCATAATTTTTAAAATAAATCCATATTATTATTATATTTAAAAAATAATTATATTATAAAAATAACAAAATAATCAAAAATTATAAACCATAAAAATTGCGAGTGGATCTTAATTAGCGAAGTTTGAAGCTATTACTGACGGTCCATAAGCGGCGTAGCGTCGGAACGGAAACCGCACCTTTTCTAGTCGCTTGATCCTTGAGCCAAAGTACATATGGTACATATATATGTATAAGATGCACTGTACGCGTTGCTGCACTTCCATTCGCACCCCCCATGTGAACGGCAACAATATGTTCCGATCACCCACGAAAATTTAGGGATGTAAGTGCTACAAAAGAAATTGTATGATTTGCCGCGAGACTCATATGAGGCTCATACTACGAAACATGCTGGACTAAAGCGGACTTTTACGTATAAAGTGTGCAACTATGGCTCAGAACCTATGAAAATCGGCTGAACAAGTGAGACAGTCACGAGGCCTCGCTCAGTATCCACTCAAAAGAGCATCGCTTTGATGTAGATCCTAACTGGTGACTTCCACGTAGATGTCACATCGGAAACTGACTTCACACTTCTCAAAAGATGTAGGTTTTGGTTTGGATACACTTACAGAACGGCAAGTCGGAGAGATAGTCGGTGATTGTCTACCTTCCATTATGCTCATGGTATCAAATCGTCAATCCGATGATTTGCAATGATATACTTACAGCGTTTCAGATTAGATAGACATCCGGTGAATGACTTCCTCCCTGGTTTGCATGGTATCCTCATAGTCGTTCAAAGAAATCACCACTGGCGATAACCTCTCCATCCACGATGATCCCAGTTGCCCTGAGCATCCCGCCGATCATCTTCTCCCTTCTTGGACTTTCCCTTGGACTTGCTCTTTCCCTTCCCCTTTTCAGAAGGTTGAGGTACTTCGCGACGTTCTTGCGTTAGCGCC